TTTTTTTTTTTTTTTTTTTTAATCTGTGATACTTTTTCAGGATTCTTTGATGAATAAAAAGTTACAAAGAACTGCTGCAAAATGACAGCAAACCTCAATATTTACCTTGAAGACCCTGTTTCCACAAATCAACCACAGAGAACAATGCCAACATCCACAAAAGAGCTGTAATGTGTTATCACAAATCCTGGACAGTTGGAGCACAATAAAACATCTGCCCTGACCAATCACCTGACTTTAATATTTTCAAACCACTGTGGGCAGTTATAGAGAGAAGAGGGAGAAGCAGATTCCCTCCTTCAACATCTCTTAAGCAACTATGTTCTGATAGTTGTATGAATCTATTCTAAGAATGTTGAAAACAGTATCAAAGGCAAATGGTAGTCAAACACCTTAAAAAATAAATATCACCCATTTCAGGTGTTCAGATTTTGTCCAACCCCTGTTGTGTGTGTATGATACATTATAGAAAAAATGAGGCATAGGACTTTAATCAGAATGAGTGTATTTGTATATGTACTACCTTTCCAGCTGTGATGGTCTCTGCGATCAGACTGTGATGACTGACGTGTGTGTAGTCCAGTTGCTATGGAAATGGAGGGCACAGAGCGGGCAGGACGCAGAGGGGCGGGATCTCGACGGGAACGGTGTTGTAGGACTTTAATCATGGCATCTTTCTCCAGCAACTGAGCATGCAAGTCTTTCATCCTGTGACATGCAGAGCAACTCTTTATTGGTTTTTTATCTCAGACACAGTTATCAAGAACAACATAACACAATTAGATAATTATGTGATTAATTAAGTGCTGATTGAGCATTAGTGATGAACACCTGCTGTTAACAAGCAGAATCACTGAAGAAAAGAGAAAGTTGTGGCAGCAGAGGGCATGTTTGTACGATGTGTCCTCTAGCTGCGATCATGACCGCACCAAAAAGGACATAGTATGGAAGGAGATAGCGGAGGAACTGCAGCTGCCAAGCTCCCTGTGCAAAACTGGCATCCAAAGTTGTCCTCTTTTCCCGAGCCATGAGCGAGTCCATATGCCCTCTTCCGCCGGTGCCTTTTCTTTGTTTCAGCGCACATGAAAAGCACAACTGCCAAAGCGCGATCCATCTTGATGTACCGGTATTTGTTTACCATTAGCGCATGCTGATGACGTTGCGTTAATGTGTGTTGCAGCCGTCACAGCCTACGATTCAATTAGTGATGGGAAGTCCGGTTCTTTTCCGCGAACCGGTTCTTTCGGACAGTTCGTTTCAATGAACCGGTTAGATCAACAAAAAGATCAACCGCTGTGTTGTCTATAGGAATGAGTATGTGCTGGCAGTGAAAATGCGGGAGGAAACTTTCCAGCATTAGATGAATCGCTCACAACTTCAAGCAGTTTATGTGCCACATTCTCTCTGCATTTGTTCAAGTGCCAGAAGCTGGTTTGTCGTCGTATGGGGCTCCCCAGCCCATGCTTGACATATCTGTTTTGGCAGCCTTTCCCTGCACCACTTGTCCCATATCTACATCCTGTTGGTACAACGTTTCGCAGATCCAGGGAGCAATTGCATTTAAGTAGCTGCAAGTCACTGTGATGCACGTGTGGCTGGTTTGTCACACCTGGCATGGGACAAGAGCTATTAGCCAGAGCTGAAGCAGCCACTTATGAAGCAACCCATGGTGACAAACAGTTAAAGTTGCAGCCATAAGCCCAAGTATTTTCTGAGTTTATGGCAGAGAGCTCCCAAGACTAATTGCAGAGAGAGTGTTGATTAAAACCTGAGAGCATTCCCATGACAGGTGGGATTGCATAAATATCCAGTCCATTTCTGTTCCTTGAAATGAGATTAGTTGGCTGGATTGCAGCACGCTCTTTCGCATGTTGATAGACATCCCCAAACACTGCAGGTTTGATGGGCCCAGCACAGGAAAATTCCATCTCAATGGTCGTGCCATGATCTGCCATTACTGATACGCTGTAGAGAAGTGAAGCTAATCATCCTCTGTAGACAGCGTGGTCAGCTGCAAAGTTTTGCGAGGGCTTGGGAGAACAGAGGAGTCATTTACTTTTGCAAAAGTTTCTTTGATAACTCTCCTCTTTTACAAATAATTTTGCAGTCGAAAGCTTTGAACAAACATATAATACTCCGATGTGATCTGGAATCCAATTAAAAATAAATCTTCTTGTTCCTGATGGTGGGACCCTTTTTAACTCTGTACAGAGAAGCAAACAAGCTGTTTAAACAGCATGTCAAAACAAATGTTCTTTTACTTTTTTTTTTTTTTTTTTTTTTGTCGTCTTCCTGTCAGCTCAAGCATAGAGTACATCAGAAACTGAACAAGCATCTCTATACTGTATCCAGTGTATACCGCAAAAGATTATAATGGGTTTTGAGTTATTTGCTTTTGTCACGAAGTGATTGAACCGCAATGGATAGGCACATCGATACTGCAGTATCAGTATCTCTGTTATTTCGATAACAGAGATGAGCAGTATTTTAATTAAATGTATTTAAAATATGTATTTTATTACTTTTTTTGTATTTTGTCATTTGTATTTTGCTGGACAGAACAAAAACAATTCTCTAATGTAATTAAATACTTTTG